GCGCAGGTGAGCGCGCCCGAGCGCAGCAGCAGCGCGCGGGTGTCGTGGCCGCACAGCCGCAGCAGCGGCCCCAGCGCCAGGCCGGCCAGCGCCCCCAGGCCGCTGCTGCAGCCGATGAGGTAGCCCGTCGTCCTGGGCCGCACGCCGAAGCGCTCCTCCAGGGCCAAGGCGAAATTGCTGTGGAACAGCATGACCGCCACGGCCATCAGCAGGCGCACCAGGTATATGTCCCACATGGCAGAGGATACCAGGCTCCGCATGTCGCGCAAGGCCCGCACGACTTGGCCCCAGGGCGGCCGAGCAGCCTTGTCCCGCGTCGGGGCCCCGTGGGCGGTGGCCGCTGCCCGCGCTTCTCTGCAGACCGTCTTTCCAGAAAGCGCGCGGCTCTCGCCCGATCGCTGGCCGCCCTTTGTCCCGCCGACTTCGGCTCCACGCCATGGAAGCAGCCACACGAGACCTGTTGAAGCAGCAGGAGACCCGTTGTAAGAGGAGGCTGGTGCACTGAACTCAGACAGTGCCTCTCCGGGGGAGAAGCAATCATTCATGCTAGATTACTCATCTGTACACTTTTACACTAGACTTACTCGTCCGAATGTTTAAATCCAGCGTTTTACCATGTTCACAGCTCCATTTCGACTGCAGGATTCCAGCAAAAGACTCTCCACCTTTTAAAGAAACACCAAAACGACACCTACAAAACACTCACTGTTTTCTCTCCAGCTTAGAAGCATATGACGGGTTGCTGTATCCCATCACTTCATATCTAAATTCTTATGTAAATTTAAATTCTTTCCTTCATTAACTTTCTGATTATCTACCATATGCCCACCCATCCAGCCATCCAAACATCCAGTATTTATGGAGGGCTTCCTAAGTCCTACGGCCTGTGCTAAGCGTTATGAATATATTAATAAACAAGACAAGGCATATGAAATCCCTGTCCTCAGGGAACTTAAAAGGGGGTTGACAATAGGCAATTAGAATAGAGTATAAGGGCCACCCTAGGGAAGCCACAGGCTGCTATGTACAGTGACAATGGCCTTTGCTTGGAGGGTGGATAGAGACAACCTGACAGTAAGGACCCTAGGAAGCACCTGCTTGGGTCCTCTCCCTATCAGGGTCACCATGTTCTTTTTTAGGTCACAACTACAAAACCTGAGGGGGCACATTCTCCTAGGCCACAACACACCACCTTATGCAGCAGATCTGACCGCCATTCAGGTCATCCTACCACGGCTCTCGGTATGACTGGCACATTCCTGCCTCTTGTATTATTTATCCCACACCATCCAAATAGAATGACCTCTTGTCAATCTATGTCCAAAAATGTACTTAAAACTGAACTCAAACTTGCCATTCTACGACATTCTTCCAAAGTCATTGCTACAGGTTTTAGGCCTTCAGCACTTAAAAGATCAGCCTGGACCAGTGGCTATCTAGTGCTACTTCATGTTGTTTTCAGGGGCTAAATTTGCATATGTGGTCTCTCCAAATACAGTGCAAGTGCTTCTGTCACAGACAAACATATTACAGAAAACCAACCACGTGAGAGCGCGGGTCTGAACTTTTGGTCTATTCATATCTGTAAAAGGGGCCTTGGACAGGTCAAAGAATCTTGATAAAAATGTGAAAAGAACTGTCACTGATGGATTAGAAGAGTACAATTAAAACAATAAAAATGATGATAATGGCAACTAACAACTATTGATGTTCAGCCTGAGCAAAGCACTGGGATAAACTGCTTACAATGCAAAACCTTTTAGTTCTCATAAAGAGTTTTGTTGCCCCATTTTATAGATGAGGAAACTGAGGCAATTTGTCCAAGGCTCATACTAAAAAGTGGCAAAGGAATTCGAACCTGAGTCTGTTAGACTCCAGAGTCTGAGTTCTTAACCATTAGAACAGAAATCATGGGGAAAAAAGACATGAAAAGTCGGTCTACCAGAAAGCCAGTGGGGCTGGAGCCCATGGAGAGAGGGGGAGAGGGCTGTGTGAGGCATGTGCATCGATTACCCTGATGGGAAGCCACTGTTGGGTCTTGAACTAGGGGATGGCAGAAGTTTCTACCTTTTTTTTCCTTCACCTCCATAATTTCATTTGTTTTTAATAAATCCATTAGAAATAAAGCAGATGTTTTCATTTAAATTATAATTGAAAGAAAATGGATCATGCAAAAGAATGAAATTAGAACCTTAGCTTACACCATACACACACAAAAAAACTCAAAATGGATTAAAGACAAACATAATACCTGAAACTGTAAAACTTAAAAAAAAAAAAAAAAGAGGAGTGAAACTTCTTAAAATTGGCATGGCAATGACTTCTTGGATATGATACCAGAAGCACAAGCAATGAAAGCATAAACAGACAAATGGGACTACATCAAACCAAGTTTCTCCAGCAGAGGAAACAAATCAGCAAAGTGAAAGGCAACTTGGAAACAATCACTAAAGTGAAAAGCAACCCATGGAATAGATATGATCTGCAAATCACATATCTGGTAAAGGGTCAATATCCAAAATATGCAAGGTGCTCCTACAACTCAATAGCAAAAAACCCAAATCACCCGATTAAAAAATGGGCAAAAGATCTGAATAGACATTTCTCCAGAGTGGCCAACATCCATACGAAAAGGTACTCAACATCATTAATTACCAGAGAAATGCAAATCAAAACCACAGTGAGAAATTACCCCACACCCGTTAAGAGGGTTAGTATTAAAAAAGAAAAAGAAAAAGAAAAAGATAAGTATTGGTGAGGATGTGGAGAAAAGGGCGCCCTTTATCCTGCTCGTGGGAATGTAAACTGGTGCAGCCACCATGGAAAACAGTAGGGAGGATCCTCAAAATGACTTTCAATTTTGAACAAGTCTGCCTATTCTGAGAAAAACACACAAGAAAATAGGTAGATTGGTCTGTATGAGTACACAAAACAGTCCTCTCATGATTAAATGACAGTTTACCGGCATTGAGAATGAAGATGGAAAAACAGACGAAGGCTGTTAGATAAAATCCGCCATCTAATTCCGTGAGATATCCGCCGACCACGGGGCCCAAGATGAAGCCCACACTCGATGCTGTATTGAACTGTCCAATCACAAGTGGCCGTTCCTTCTCTGTAACCAGGTCAGAGAGCAGAGCCCTTGAGATGGAAAGGGTGTGTTTAAAAATGCCTGCAAGGAGACAAGAAACATGCTTTGTACGTTTTTCCAGATGATAAGCATCTCCCTTGTGATCCCACACTTAACCTCTACCCCGATCTCCATTTTCTTTGAAACTCTATGGCCTGCAGATTCCATCCCTTAATATGTGGATTCCTGGTGTAGCACCGTGATCCTAGGCAGTCACCTTATCTCTCTCTGGCAAGCAAGCCCTCGAGCCCTTGGCCTGCTGGCCTCCCGTCATGACGTCCCAGCATCTCCAGTCCTCTCTGTTATCCAACTGCGAGTCATGGTGGCCCCTCCGTTCACCCACAGAACAAATATTTACTGCATGCCTGTTGTATGCCCAGCACTGATCTTGACCCTGAGAGAGAGCCCTGCTGTTCTAGAGCCTGTACTTTCCCTGGAGGAAATATAGAATAGATATTAGAAGGTGACAAAGGCTATGGAGAAACAGAGCAGGGAAGGGAACAGGGGAATGAGTAGAAATCTGATGGCACTGTCGTCTAACCAAGACCAACTGACTTCCTACTAATAAGAGGCTTGCAAATGTGTTGACACCAACTGAAAGCCATGATATGACTGTTATCAAGAGATTAAAATATATGTAACAATGCTACACTCCTCACACTTCTATGGATGCATGTGACTCCTATGCCCCCAGGCACCCATGTGCGGAACAAACATGCTCAGAACACACTGATGGACTCTGGTGACAGATTGCCCGTCATTATGAACAAGACACAGTTGGAACTCAGTAAATGCTATGGGCAGGTCAACCGGCATCACTCTTAGACATGATGCAACAGAACGGTTTTCCATGATCCCCCTCGCAGGAAGTCTTGGCCTGCACATCACAGAGCCGCCATGTGCTTCAATGCATTAGTCCTGGTTCTGTTCCCAGCTCTGTTTCAAAATTAGCGTGGGTGTTTGCCTGATAACAGGCCTCTTTGGGAAGCAAAGATAAATTAGGTAGAAAGACTCTGTCTAGACCTGTTTCCTTAAATGTGAGAAAGGACTGGGCTAGAAGATGATTCTTAAGAGGTCTTATGGGAATCTTGTAATTATTTTTGAAAATATATGTGTCAGGTTCACCTTACATACCTGAGGGAACAGGACTGTGGCAAGTGTCCTGTGAACAACCCAGACTAGGCTTCTCTATCTTTCAGAGCTGGGGTAGTGGACAGAGAGGAGAGGGGAAAGCCAGGTGTCTAACTCAGACACTTCAATCTCAGGCACATTCGAAGTCAGTGCCTCATTTTCGGGCCACCAGGATCTGAATCCACAACTGCCTCTGCGCAGCAGAGCCCTGGCAAAGCCCCTCCCGCCTCCCCGCGAGGGCTCCCACCTGTTCAGGAACCACCAAACCCTGTGAGGATTACACGGGCAAGAAGGAATTTTGTGTATAGCAGTCCTTGTTTGTAAGCTCATGATGTTCATGTTAAAAGAACTATCACTACTTAAACCAGGCCCATTTCATATTGAATAAAAACATTTTAATCCTCCTCATAAATGTCTACTCATTTATTAACAGTTCTAGGTTCATATTCATCTCCCTAGCCTGTTTCTTTAGAATTATGAATAGTACATACCACTGAATGCTGGAGTGCATTATACTGTAGAAAAACACATTGCTAACAAAACCAAGAATGCCCAATGAATTTGACACTAGATGCACACAGATCAGTTCTCAAGTGTATTTTGTGTTTGGTGGTGTGGTTTGTTAGGAGGACTGACCACATTTAAGCAAAGACCTTCATAAAGCATTTCTTTAGTCAACAGAAGGCATGGTATACATTTTGGAGGGTGAACTCAATATGACTTTCAGAGTACAAATGTATGCCACAGAAATGGTTTGTAAATCCCAAATGGGCTGATCATTAACTATATGTTAAAATGACGTAATTCTGCTCTATTCTTCTGGGGTGTTAGTTAAAAATGAGCAGCTTAACTGAATGTGGGCAGACGTCCAGTGCTGCGGACTTGTCGACCAGGGTAGTGAAGTCTGTTGGTGCTCCAATGGGTAAGGTAAGGAAGGAAACACTGCCACTCCAGGGCTCTAATCATGAAGAAAGGCAGAAAGAACAAAGAGCTTCCACAGTCACATCCACCCACCAGTCACTACCCGGCATTCACGAGTGGTGTTTTAAAGAAGAAACAAAATGCTTCAATGAATGGACAAAATAAAAGCTATCTCAAAATGTCAGTAATAGTCAACACCAGTCTGGAAACAGAAAACTAACCTATGAGCTGCTACATTGCAGTCCTAGTCTTCCTAATCAACAGCCAGATTCACAGGGAAGTACAGAGGTAAATCTCCATGTGAAGTCAGCAAGCCCACTGAGGAAGGAAATAACAGCCACAGTGCTGGCCAAAGACATTTGACAGACTCTTGCTGGCTGAATGTAAAGAGAGGTCAGGAGGAAGGAGACGAGTCCCGATGCAGCAGCACAGCTGTGCACACTGACCGACTCTGCGGGGCTCCGGGCTCCATCAACTACAAGGTTTGTAGCTTGGGACAAGTTAGCAGAGCCCCTGGGCAAAGGGAAGTGCTCAGTACACAGCAGCTGTTAGTGCTACAGCTACTACTGTAATTGCTGCTGTCACTCACTCTCTTTATCTAAGCTCTAATCAAAGAGGCAACGTGAAGCAGGGACAGGCTTTCTATATAGAAACAGATAGATATATATAGACAGATACGTAGATTTATTTTTAATTAAGGAGCACACACGCACGGGCCAGAACTCACCTGCAGGGACTCTTGCCAGGACAAACAGGAACACATTGGTGGCTCCTCCAAGGAGGAGGTAACCCAGGGCACTGAGTAGAATGCACGCCAGCAAGGAAGACCGTCTTCCGACCACATCACTCCAGCAGCCCTGAGGAAAGCAGAAATGGAGGAAGCCCTTTGACACACTCTGCAACCAACACAGCCACGCAAATGGCCAACACAGTGCGACCTGCTGGAAGACGTCAGGGAATGTGATTTAAGATCCTTAGCTGCTCAGTTCCGTTATGCCACTTGCCAGAGTGAGTTATTTTCTCTGGTGTTCCCACAAGGTGAGTGGGAAAATACCACGTGGTTTTCTTCATCTAAAAAATAAAGCCTGATGGTCTGGTAGCTGAGAACAGCTGAAGAGATGGTGAAGTACATAAAGCCTCATTTTTGTCTTCATTCTCATTACTTTATGTAACCAAATTCCTCAGAATATGAAAGAATGGGAAAATACCTCATAATCACAAACCTACATATGATACATTTTAACACAATGGGCAGACAGTACGCTCGATTTTGTGACTTGCTTCTTTACTTAACAATATGACTTGAACATCATTCCATATCATTAAAAATTTGACTTTGTTATCATTTTTCATCTTATTCCATATTCCACTATGTACCAATATTGATTTAACAAGTCTAGTTTTTGTTATATTTTTAGTGCTTTATTAAAAATATAAATAATACTATAATAAGAATCCTCATAGCAAACTCTGCAACTTTCTTTGAGAATTTCCTTAGAATAAATTCCTAGAACTGGAATTGTCAGGTTAAAAGGCAGACATATTTTTAGTCATTTGACATATATGAACAAATTTCTCTCCAGGAAGGTCTACAATCCCGCCGATGTGTAATGAGGAGAGTCTCCATTTCCCATGCTCCAGACAACACTGCTTATTGTCAACTTAAAAACTCTTCAAATTTGTTACGTGGCATCTTTTTCTTCTCTTCCTGATGAGAGTTCTTTTACGTATGTACTATTTGCATTTTCTGTTGAGAGAAGCAAGCAAAGCAATGTGCCTGCCAGGGACAACTCCCACATCTGAGAAGCCGGGCACCCTCCCAGGCTCGGGCTCCCTCCTGACACACTCTATGCAAGTGAGAGTGTTCACTAGGGCCACAGAGGGGGCCCAGGATGGAGCTTGCCCAGCAGGGAGTGGCCTGTGTGATGGTGGCCAGCTGAACCCCCAGCGCCTCTCTGAGAGTGGGAACGCGAGGCGCACGAGGGCCGAGCAGCCCACGAGCAGCGGAGCCAGAGGCAGATCGGGGAATGCTGAGTAGGCAGAGGCCTGTGAGGAAGAAAGAAGGCACAGGAGGGTGGTGGTCAGTGCTGCACAGACTCCTCAGGCCCTGGGGAGGGGTCACAGACACCTCCTGGGATAAAGGGCAGCAAGGTGAGTGGAGCTCCAGGGCCACCTTTGCAGTCGCTCTTCTTCCAACCCTGTAGCAACATGCTTAGCTAAGATCGAGCCTCACTCCAGGCTGAAAGCTCTGGCCTATAAAGATGCAACTGAAAGTCACTGGGCAAAGCTTCTGAGGAAGTTCTTTAGAGGTGGGGCACATGGTGGCCAACTCAGCCTTTTGCTCCTTATCCTCCCCTTCTTCCTGCTTAGAACATTCCAGGGATGCTGGAAGTTGAGCAGCTGGCTGGCTGAGGACCGTCATGCAGAAGACAGCAGGAGCCTGGGCCTCTAGTGGCAACCCAGACACACAGACGACCTGGGGCTTTGTACCTCCTTTTTCTTCTCCAAAGCCTCTGGAAAGCCCGTTACTCCCCACAGACTGCATCCTAACCAATGTGCCCAGCTCAGAGTGCCTCTACATACTGAGGTTATGGGTGAGGCTTTCTTTTAAAAGAAAAGAAACACGTTTAAAATAAAAATTGCTAAACACTATGACAGCAACAGAGCACTGTCTGAGGAGGGTCAAGAACGGGGTCCAGTGCTGTGACACCCTGGATGAGCCTGGTTCCCAAGGAATGCGCTGGTCTTCACTGGTCCTGGCTTGGGGTGAATGAGACTGCTTCCTGCTTCCCTCGTGCCTCAGTGGCACTCTATAACCTTTCCCCACCCTCTCAGTCAACCACAGATTCTCAGCCCACCTTTCTTCCTTGCCAAAGCCAACTCTACCAGCTCATGCCCTTTCCCCATTTTTATTCATGTGTTTATCTTTTTCTTAAGGACCTAAAAGATTTCTTTACATAAGGATATAAACTGTCATAAAAGCCCTCTATAAAACATTTTGAGGGTAAATCTTCCGAAATATTGTCATCCTCCTACAAATGTCATCAATCATTTTCCCCAATTTTCATTTCAGTGGATTTTAGAAATTAGCCACACTCTTCTATCAGGGAGAGGGGTCACTGGCTTCCTTGTGCTCACAGGACAGCGGTACAGTCTGGTTCTCACACTCTGGGCCAGCCTGCCTGGGATTAACTCTGAACCCTTATCATTACCTACGCCATGACCTCAGACATATTAGTTTCTCTATCTGTAAAGTAGGAATAACACTAATATCTACGTCAAAGATTATCTTCCCCCCCCAACACTTACTATATGTGCTTACTATAAAATGAGTCATTAACTACACACAACCACCCTCTGAGACAAGTTATTATAAGGATTAAATATAAAATCAAGTGCTCAGACCAGGGCTTAACACATAAGTACTTAACAAATGCTAATCATTTTTATTAAAACACAGATATTAAAAAGTATTAGCCAAATCTGACAGAGAACACCTTTTCTTCATAAAGATTTCTTCTTAAAATTAAAATCTTTTTATAAAACTTAAAATATGTATTTTTAAAAGCATTGGTTAAAAAGGAGAAAGGACATTTTAAATAGCATTTCTTTATCTGAAGCTATTAAATTCTAGGCATAAGGTTTATGAAATGTGCTTTGTGTAAACATAATAAAACAAAGAATCAATTTGAAAAACAGGGTAGGGTTCAGAGTTGGCAATAAAAATTCACATTCATAAAATGCTAACTATGTACAAAGTGCTCTGATAAGTGCTAATGAGAAACAGGGAAAGACGGAAAGAAGGAAGGGAAGGAATGAAGAGGAAAAAGAAAGAAAAGAAAAAAGAAAAGAAAAGAAAAAAGAAAGCCAGCAAGCAAGCCTGGTCTTTATGTCAACGAGGCCAGAGCCCAGTAGGAAAAAAGCATTTGAGTAATTAACATACACTGTGGCCTAACAGATCTAATATATATACACATCAAGTATTGGAAGCATTTTGGAAGGGAGTTTCCAAATAAAGCAAAAAATGTGCTTACTTAGATGTAGCCCCAATTTTTCTCTCACAAGAACATGAAACACAACATTTTGCCCGAGAAGTGCATTACTCTCCAGTACAATCCCATAACTCTCGTTATATATTTACTTCTTTACATAATTAAGGCAATCGCAGATGACTTTTAGGAAAAAGTAAAATGGATTTAGTGTCTGGATACTGAGATTAGGTGACTTAGTCAAATTACTTAAACTGTGTGAGTCTTTTTTTTTTTTTTTTCCTTTTTGTCTTTTTTCGTGTCCGGCAACGGATCGCAACCCTCAGTGTCGCGCCCGTACCGGACCAGGACCGGCAACGGGATTGAAACCCTCGGTGTTGCGCCTGCACCTCGAGCGGGAACCGGTCTGTATGTGGGATCTGAACCCTCGGCGGGAGCGCCGCTGTGCTCCCAAGCGGCGCACTGTAGCAGTGAGCCACCGGGCCAGCCCTTAAACTGTGTGAGTCTTTTTTTTTTTTTTTTTCCTTTTTGTCTTGTTTCGTGTCCGGCAACGGATCGCAACCCTCAGTGTCGCGCCCGTACCGGACCAGGACCGGCAACGGGATTGAAACCCTCGGTGTTGCGCCTGCACCTCGAGCGGGAACCGGTCTGTATGTGGGATCTGAACCCTCGGCGGGAGCGCCGCTGTGCTCCCAAGCGGCGCACTGTAGCAGTGAGCCACCGGGCCAGCCCTTAAACTGTGTGAGTCTTTTTTTTTTTTTTTTTCCTTTTTGTCTTGTTTCGTGTCCGGCAACGGATCGCAACCCTCAGTGTCGCGCCCGTACCGGACCAGGACCGGCAACGGGATTGAAACCCTCGGTGTTGCGCCTGCACCTCGAGCGGGAACCGGTCTGTATGTGGGATCTGAACCCTCGGCGGGAGCGCCGCTGTGCTCCCAAGCGGCGCACTGTAGCAGTGAGCCACCGGGCCAGCCCTTAAACTGTGTGAGTCTTAATTTCCTTCCACATAAAAGGGAAATAGCAAACTAGTTTGCTAGATTATTACAAAGTTTAAATGAGAATAAAACTATTATTGTTATGCAAATTTAGTACATGAAAGACTTCAGAACAAGATAAATCACAGAGTGGTTATTTACTTAAGAATTCATATGGAATCTGACTGAATTCCTTTACAAAATAAATTTTACAAGGAAGAAACTCTGAGGAAACATAAGTACAGTATATGCTGTTCACTAAATTTTAGGCCTCTGGGCCAACCATGAGAATAAACTGACTACGCCAGTGAGTGAACTGCCTGAAACAGCGGACACAGAAGTCTCCAGACCAGGTGGCCAAAGCAGAGTGCACAAGGGACAGAGAAGGGGAAGCTCAGCAGAGGTCTCTGAATTTCTAACAATTGAGTGGTCAGAAGCACAGGAGAGTGACAGGATCACCGCTGCATCTTTCTGCTCCATGTTGCAGACATACAACCAACCATTCCAAATGGATCCTCCGGCTCATATTCTTGAGTCTTGTAAATAGTGAAGCATTTAGTTAGAAATGCACTTCAAATGGAGTTCTAGAAATCTGCATGGATATAATTACATTAGTCCCCCCAATCCGTTCCACAGTTTTGTTTTCAGTGGTTTCAGTTACCTGTGGGCAACCACAGTCCAAAAATAGGTTAGGGAGCACAGTACAAGAAGATATTTAGAAAGAGCGAGCCCACATGCACATAACTTTTATTACAGCATAGTGTTATAACTGTTCTACCATTAGTTATTGTTGCTAGCCTCTTACTCTGCCTAATTTATAAATTAAACTTTATTTTAGGTATGTATGTATAGAAAAAAATCTTGTGTATATAGGGTTCGGTATTATCCGTGGTTTCACACATCCACTTGGGGTCTTGGAATGTGCCCCCTGTGGAGGGGTGACTACTGTATTATCAAATAAAACAAACAATAAAATTGGTAATAACCTTTGTTTACATTCTTTTCTCCAGTAAAAAGTTAGCAGAGAATTATAGAAAGAACATGTTACAATTTAAAAATTATTCTCATCCCAGATCTATCACTGACTCAGTGTATTCCATTCAGAATAAGCCATCTGAGCCTTTTTGGCCTACATCTTCTCATAGGTCAAAGGAGGCGGACAGACATCAGAAGGATCTTCTTGATCTAACAGCATTGTGTATTCTGCTGATCTACACACCTACTTTTTGGTAACTCTCAAGTGTCCGATATTACTACAGCCATGATGGATGAGTCTCAGAGGCATACAATTATGTTTTCAAGATGCATTGCCAGATGGAAGATAACTTACCACAAATGTGCTAGAAAAGAATTGCAAGATGCCATAGGAGGAGCCTGCAAAAAAAAAAAAAAAAATCAACAAAATCAATAAAGTCAGCTAGACCCATCATGAAAATCGATTAATGCGACAATTACACAGAAATTAACAGAAAAACGTTAAGGAAAAAAATACCGTTTTTTAAAAAGGAAATTGCTCCACATCTTTTTCTCCCCCTAGTTAGGAGAATTTAAGTAGTACAATTTTAAACGAAAGGCCTTCAAAGTAAAATTGAGGTTAGACAAAACAAAGAATAAAATCAAGGTTTGACCTTAGAGACAGAAAGATAGTCCTCCTTCCATTATGTGAGAACTGTGTAGCTCCAACTTATAAAATTATAGAGAGAGTACTCAGGAGAGTAGAAATCTGAATTCTAGAAAAATTCCAAGTCTTAAAATTTTTATATTGCCACATATGTCTCTAACATTCTACAGTTTTGCAAAATGTTTTAATTTTATAAAGAACTTACAAAGTTCTACAGAGTTCTTTTACTTCCATTATCATGTAACGGGTCTCTTCTGCTTTTCCTAAAAATCGTCATGTTCCTGGGTGGTCCAGGGAAATAAAAATCATGACGTGGACTATGATTTAACAAATATTATGCACAAAATTGTCCCCCAATATTTGCATGTACAGCTTGTGAATGAGGAAGGGTTGTTAGTCTTAATGATTTCTCATTAATTAGCACAGTCCGTTCCCTGCTATCTCCTGCCTCTTTCGTAAATCACTGACTTCCAGATGAAATTTTTGTGCTGCAAAGGTAGAGAAATCCTACGGGCCTCTAAGGTGCGTTAGTGGTGGTGTGGGAAGCTTATAGCTAATTTGCTAAGTCTCACCAAAGTCCTTTCCCACAAGGTAGATTGTTTCTCCGTCTCTAAAAAACCATCCCACCTCTCTGAACATAGGTTGTCTAGGAAAAGATGAATTACATTGCGGTAGGGTAATATTTTAAAACATTCTGGAAATTAATATTATCTCGTTTCCCACTTACCTTGGGTAACATTTGGCTATACGACTCAGTTATTTTCAGGTAAATATTCAAAGGGATTTAAAATTCAGTGCTCTGAAAAGGAGCAGTATCAGCCGCTCACCTACTATTCCAGCAACTGTCGGACTTGCTCCAAGAGACCTGACGTGACGGCTCAGCAAAGGGATGACCATGCTCACACCAAACAAATCCTGAAAGAAAACAAGCACTGATTAACTGAAATAAGTAACCAAAGCCTAAAGTTACGTAGTGACTTTATTCCTTTTTGTCTTTTTTCGTGTCCGGCAACGGGATTGCAAACCTCGGTGTTGCGCCCGCACCTCGCTCAGCCAGTGAGCGGGAACCGGTCTGTATGTGGGATCCGAACCCTTGGCGGGAGCGCCGCCACACTCCCAAGCGGCGCGCTGTAGCAGTGCACCACCGGGCCGGCCCCTGTAGTGACTTTAAAAATAAAACCAACACCTAAAGTCTTGAGAAAACAAGAAATCATAACTGCATTCTATAGTATGCCACAGTAATCAGCTGCCACCTGTACTGCTTGGATTACCCTGACCTAGGATTCACTTTAACTTCGGCTTCTTTGTGACTGATTCTTAAAGTTCTAGGAGGAGGTGCTACAGAAGTTCTTCAAATAAAACAAACGAATGAACCAACCCCCAATTCTCTGTGGACAAGGAAGTGGGAAAGGATGGAATAATAAGCAATTCGTATTTTTTGGTGAAGCAGCACTTGCTTAAAAATATGAATTTCCTCCTGGAGTTAGAGAAGATGACTAATGTCCTAGGACCTATGGTTTAGTCTTATAAGGTGTATCTAAGAAGAAAGGCTCAGTAAAGCAGGAAGGAAAGAGAAGCCTGGTGTATTGGGGGAGGTTGACCGTTTGCAGTTAAGTCATAGAAAGTGCATGGGCTTTGGGGTCACACAGACGGTTCTTGGTTCCAGCTCCGTCACTTAACAGATGTATATCCTTGGAAAGTTAGTTAATGTTACCAAGCTGCAGTGATATCATCTGTAAAAAAGGGGGCTAATAATACCTGCCTGGTAGAAATATGATGAGCCTTAAGTGACACATGGTTGGAAAAGGTCTGACATACAACAGAAGCTCAAATGTAGTTTCTACTTTCTTAGTCCTGGGGAAAAATACGAGACTATCAGCTAGGTATTCTGACGGAAACTGTTCATTTTTCCTTTATATTTTGTTCTTATTCTCACTTCACTTGATTAGCTGCTACAACTGGTTTAGTGGGAAAAATGCACTGTACACACAGAGTTTTCTTTTCATTCAACTTAAATTCCTTCTCCCATAAACCTGGTCAATTGGAAAGAAAGAATATGCATGAAAAATATATTTTCTTTGGTCCCAGAGTTAATCTTTTTGCTTCCCCGACCCTGACCTCCCATCCTGGTAGCTGCACATTCACATAATTATAGAAACACAACTTCCACATTCGCTTTTTGGCGGTCCTTTTCCAAGGTTACATCTTTAGATGGCCACATATCTAACATCCAGTGAGTCTTAAACAGCTCATAAATTCACACTATCAGAACATTGGTTTATTATATTGATTTTACTATTACTTAAAATTTCTTTCAAGTCTGAGCCAATTTCTTTTGGACTTTACTGTCAGTTTTGTCCCATCAGCCTTCTGATGCTTACATCATTTAAAATACATTGCATCAGCCACCTACTGAGTCTTCTCAACCACTCAGAAAAGAAAATCGATTGTCCAAGAAGTTCCCACCCCCAAAATTCCCAGTACCACATATCGTTTAATAATTAAATGGTTATTCTAAATAGAAGATGAGAGAGAAATATTTAAGACAACAGGCTGAGATCTATGGAAAGTAAATATGAAAATACAGACCCATAAGCAACAACTGATGATCGGTATTATTTTAACACTTTGTAAGTCTGAAAAATACTATCTTTCTCCGACAAGGCCAGCCACTGGCTCTTTCCTCTCAGGAAGTTCTGTTCTAAAATTGTCTTCTCCTTTATTATAAAAGGCGACTCCTCTCTTTCTCTGAATCCACAGCTTCTTCAAAAGCCCCATCTTTGAGTGCACACTACATTTGGCAACTGGTCATGTGTGTGTATCCATTTTTAGGAAAGTCAGGTTACAGGGGGGCACTTAAACCTTTCACCGAACATCAACATCTCTCAATGAAAATTGATGGATACATACATTCAAAAGTTTCAGGACCTTTTTCAGGGTAGGAACCACAGTATTTCTTGATGAATGGACTACCTCAATAAAAGTGAATTATCACCTGACCAAGGCTGATGAAACAGAATATAAATCTCACCAGACATCTGGAGAAAAGAAGGGGCTAAAATCATAGATCTTAGCACCATCTTAGCATCCTAACTAAACAGGCCTAAGGATCACGTTAGTATTCCCTCCAAAACAAATTAAAACCTCAAGTACAAATAAGCTAAAACCAGAACATTTTGGCAAATTATTTCTCTAATCTTGCTTCCTTCCTCTCCCAACGAAAGACCATTTTCCCAAGAGTCTTATAACTAAGTTATATATAATATTCTGCAGATGTTACCTAACAAAAAATCATTAGGTCCTTCAAGGATACAAAAAGCCGCATATATTTTAATTGCTTACAATGTTTTCCATTAAAAAAATTCCCACTCTTTTAACTTTTGGGAAATCTTACATTTTTTCTTAAAGATATTAGACATGTAATGATTCTCTTGAATACATTATTAAAGTTATTAAAATTTTACATCAGACTTGCTAGATCAGACTTGCCATGTGCATGGCGAATGGAAAATAGAGAAGCTGTGAATATTCAAAACTGCTTTGTTTTACTGTCAAACTCAAACTATTTTGAATTCTAGGTCATGTTAGTTTCCAAAACTCTCCAAAACTCTGAATTTTTCAGGTGAGGGCCCAAATCTTTTTCATCTGGCAGAACCAGCCCAAGTAGCTTCTGAGGTAGGGGTGCAGGAGCTTGGGGTCCACATCTCCTACCAGCCAACTCCCTTTCCACGTGTGAAGAACCACCCATGCTCACTGGTTTTGACTTCTGGATGACTAGAAGTGGAAGAGGCATCTACATCCTGAGACTGAACTAAAAAAAAAAAAATCAAAGGTACAGGGGAGTCAGAAGCGGTGCCTGGCTCTGAAATGAAAGGCATTGAGCCTGAGGGCGGGCCAGGACGCAGGGTGGGACCTGCAATGTTAACTGGAGGTAGATAGATTCTCTCTAAAAAGCTGACGTCCCTGAGTCTCATGGCTCTGTGCGTACAGTCCTTTGGTGAATATGCTTTTTCGTGATCTTAATTAATTCAGCACAGAACCTTTATCAATTCTTGAACACCTTGCATGGAGGAGGCAGGAGAGGTGAAGACTGCTTCTCTGCTCCTCTCCTTCCTAAACATGGCTCAGCGTCCTAACTGCTCACCTCCTTGAAGCATCAGACTGGGGGGGAAGTGATGGTCTTAAACTGCATCTGGGCAGAAAACATCAGTTCCTCTTTGCCAGAGCCCAGGGCCATCAGATACTATCCTCAAGGCCTCAGGAGAGTGCCTTCTCCCACTGACACTACCTAACCAGCTCCTTTTGCCCTCAAGATACTGTCCCAGCAAAGAGGAAATCCTACTGAGTCCTTATTCCAGCTCTGTTCTAACCTGGATTAGCTCACAGCCAGGGCTACTGAACCAGGCCTAGACTTGGAAAGGGAGGAGTGAGATGGAGGATCTAGGTAGGGTTCCTGCAGATAATGGCCCAGAAACTACCAACATAGTAAGACTGTAAGCTCCTAGGTGCAGGAAGTGAGTATTACAATATTGGAGCTCCCCAGCACCTACCCATGGCAGTTGTTCAGAAATTCCATGAATCAGCTTACTAAACTTTTCATTTTACCTGAGAAATTACTACTTAGGGACCAAACCAGGACAGGGACACATGAATTATGATGAAACCAAACCTGTGTTGTGCAATAAACAGTTTGTCAAAAGGCAGATGTGTACAATTCACCGTGGTTTGCCTTTTCAAACATTCAAGTCAACCAGAAACCCCAATGAAAATGTGTTTAAATCTGCCCACGTGGGGCTATCCACGGCGGCGTTCCCCACCTGTTCTAGTGAAAGGATCTGCGTGTCCCCACCGCACCAGCCGGGCTTTTCTTAGCTTGCCCGCTTGCCCAAGCCCCGCTCTCTGCCCTGCAAGCGCTGCTCCTGCCACGACACTTAACACCTGGGATCACCAGGATTCACACCTGAAGCTGCTGCAGGGGCTTCTTAAAGGACAGGGAGGGGCAGGGGCGCGGCACTGGGCTCAGGTGGAAGCTCGCGGGGCGATAAGGCAGCGTGGCCAGGTGCGTCCTGAAGGGGGTGACGGGCAGGAGGCGGCTTGAGACACAGGGCGGCACCACGCCAGGCAGATCGCGGGTTCCCAGCCTAGGGAGCCCCAGGAAACAGCCCCGCCTGGGTCCCAGTCCCGGACGGCCCCGGCCCCAGCGCTCGCACTCACCAGGAAGCCCACCAGGTAGAGACACAGCAGGAAGCGGCGCGCTCGCACGGCGCCGGGGCCAGCAGCCCCCGCCTCGGTCCCCGTCCTCGGCTCCTGCCGCGGCTCCGGGGTCGCCGAGGCCCGTCCCACTGCGGAGCCCAGGCTCTG